GTACAGACGGCTTTGAGCTGCCCGACGTGGTTCTGGGAACTAACCACTGCTCTCTGAAAGGGCAGCCAGCTCACTTAACCACTGAACCATCTCTCTAGTGCTGGGTTGGTAAGATCCTAGCAATTTGTTTAGCAACTAATCTTTTTGTAGATACCGTAAGCTAATTTTTCTCGTGTTTCTAAACCATTATGTCCTCAAGGGAATGTTATACATTCACTTTGGGTTTCCAATTTTGCTCAAAACATTAATTTTATAATCACTCTTCATCAGCACTGAACAACGCGTTTTAAAGAGAACATTTTTCAGAAGTATGCTACTGGCTTTCCATTTTGGAGACTGTACTTTTCTATCATTGCCTACTCCCACTAATTAAGTTTGATCAGCAAGATGGCAGTCACTCAATTCTCCCATCCTATGCTTAACAGTGACTTAAAATTTTATGTTCCATAATGTCTTTCCATTATACTCCAACATTTGACTGCAGCAAAAAAAAAAATCATTGTATAATTGTATAATTTCTTGGATGGCATAAAAATATCAATACTATCAAAATAGATTTTTGCTACATCATCCAATACCAAACTTGAAGCTCGAACAAGAAGTATAGAATAGACTGGAAATGTAAAGGCTCATCTGCCTGCTGCAGTCTCTTACCTTGTTTGCCAAATGTGTGGGGTTGCTGCACATAACTCTGGTTCTAGATCTATTTTCTACAGGCAAAAACCTGTCTCTACTTCCTTGTTATTAACTAGGCAGTCTCCCTTTCCCAAACCCTCACAAATGAGCAGTTTTCTTCTTGGAAGTTCAAAACTCTCCTAGTGTTTGGTTTGTTTATTTGCTTTGGTCTTGGGTGTTTCATTTTTCTGTATATGAATTTGTCTGTGTGTATGTGAATGAAGACATGCATATGCCATAGTGGTGTGTGTGCAGGTCAGAGGACAACCTCAAGGGTCAGCCTGTGCCTTCTCTCTTATTTAAGACAGGGTCAGACTATCTGGTCCTTGAGTTCCCAGGGAGTCTCTTTCCTACCCCTCGTTTTTTTGTCATAGAAGTTCTGGGATTGCAGATGTGTCCCCTGACACCCCCTTTGCCCGGGTGCTGAGGACCAAATTCATGACCTCTTGCTTGTGCAGCAGCAGGTATTTAACCCTCTGCTTTAGTTACTTTTCTATTGCCGTGATAAAACACCATGACCAAGGCAACCTACAAAAGACACCATTTAATTTGGGCCTTACGGTTTCACAGGGGTAGAGTCTATGACCATTACGATGAGGAGCAGAGCAGCAGGCAGATAGGAGCAGTAGCTGAGAGCTCACATCTTGATCCACAGACACAGGGCCAAGAGAGAGCTAACTGTGAAAGACAAACTTCCCCCAGCAAGGCCACACCTCCTAATCCTTTCCAAACAATTCCACCAACTGCAGACCAAGTACTCAAACAAATGAGCCTATGGGGACCATTTTTTATTCAAACCTCCACACCCACTGATCCATCTTCCTAGTCCTGTTTTTCTGTTTTGTTTTGTTTTTGTTTTGATACAGAGTCCTGTTATATAGCCCAAGATGGACTTAAACTCTCTGCCTCAGCCTCCCTAGTGCTGGTATTACAGTATATACCACTATGCCTGGCTCACAAGTCTTATAGCTTTATCTGTTTTATGTGGCTTCCCCCACCCCTCCTCCCTCAAGGACATAGGTCTAAAGTAATCAAGAGTAATGAGTAGCATTTCTTTTCTTCCCTCCCTCCTTCCCTCCCTCCCTCCTTCCCTCCCTCCCTCCTTCCCTCCCTCCCTCCTTCCCTCCCTCCCTTCCTCCTTCCCTCCCTTCCTCCCTTCCTCTCTCTCTCTCTCTCTCTCTCTCTCTCTCTCTCTCTCTCTCTCTCTCTCTCGACCTGGCTGTCCTGGAACTCACTCTGTAGCCCAGGCTGGCCTCTAAGTCACAGACATCCGCCTACCTCTGCTCCTGAGTGCTGGGATTAAAGGCGTGCACCACCACCTGGCAGCATTTCTTGTCCTTTTCAAAACTGGTTCATTTATTATTGCATCTGCCATAATTTGTTTTTTATTTCATTCCTTTAAAATGTGTAGTACTTAGCTGGGCAGTGGTGGTGCACACCTTTAATCCTAGCATTTGAGAGGCACAGGCAGGCGGATCTCTGTAAGTTTGAGGCCAACCTGGTCTACAGAGTGAGTTCCAGGACAGGCACCGAAGCTACACAGAGAAACCCTGTCTTGAAAAAAAAAAATGTGTAGTACTGAGCCTGAGGAGATGGAACCAAGTTTGACTCCCAGCACCCATATGGCAACTTGAAATGCCTGCAACTGCAGTTCTCAAGAATATGATGCCCTCTCCTGACCTCTGTGGGCACCAGACACCCACAGGGTAAACTGATCTACAGGCAGGCAAAGCCTCCATATACATAAAATAAAATAACAAAAAAATGAATGTAGTATTCATTGGTGTCAATGTGACATTATGTTATCAAATGTCGGATGGGTGTCATAAAGGAAGACAATGTGAATTGCTGTCCTCTATCCTGGATAATCTTCTCCCTAGACATTACCTTGTCAAAGCTGAATCATGTCTACTGTGCACACAATGCCATTTCTCATTTCCACACCAATTTTGTTTGTCTCTGTCTATATATATTATACCATATTTCAACCTTGATTTCTTAACATGCCATTGAAATGCTCTCTGCCTTCTGCTTATCGAGTGTGTGGTAAATACCGCCAGGCCTTGCTCTTGTTTTCAGTCTTTAGTTGATACATTTTTCAATCCTTAAAGAAATTAGAATATGAAGATTATTAAAGTAAGATGTTGATTGGGGAAAGGTTCTGCATTGGCAAGAATTTTTGAATAAATTGTTTCTGAAAACCTCCTACCTGTACTGATGGTAAATTTAAACAATGTAAATTTGATGAAAAATTAAATTTATTTCCTTTATTCCTTCCTTTATTTCTATCTTATATAGCCCAGGATGACCTTGAACTCCATATATAGCTGGGGATGACTTTCAACTTTTGATCCTCCTGCCTCTACCTCTTGAGTACTGGAATAACAGGTCTATAATTTTCTCTCATTAGGCCATCACATTTGATTTATTTGGTGCTGAGGATCAAACCTTGATATTTGTATGCTAGGCATGCATATAAAATAAAATATTAATTTTATCAACTGAACTACATCCCTAGCCTCAAAGGGTTAAATTTCAGAGATAATGTTTTATAGATAAACATCAGCTACTGTTTCATGCTAATACTTGAATAGAAAAAAATTCAGTCTCCTGTTTGCTTTTCTGCTTTTTTTCAGGTTATGCTTGACACAAACACTAGCAGCCAATCTATATCCTAACCCAGTATTTTTTTGCTCCCCATCCTATTCATTTTCTGCAAAAATATAGCCAATTGTTTAGTTTGTTCTCTTTCATTTATCCCCCTATTATCTGATTCTGAAATTGATTTAAAAAGACCTGAGTCTCTAAACAAAAGCCCAGTAGATAGCATCTTACCTGAGAACTTCCATGTACTTAATGTACAAAACATACAATTAATAACCTGTTAAATATCACATTACTAATGATCAGTTGATGCTGTTAATAACAGCATAGCCCTAATAATGAGCAATTTCTATTATATAATTATATCATTAAGCGCTAACTTCTAATTTATGTTTAGATAATTTATTCTGCGAATTGCTTGATGATGAGTTATATAATAAACTTCCTGTGGGTTTCAATTGAGAGCTCACAGTAGCTTTCGGATACAGCACAGAGCATGCTATAAAAGGGGTAGGAAGCACTAAATTATTCAGTGCGTGACGAACAACAGGGCTTTGATTTTTCTTTTATTATATGTTTACCAGCTAGTAAGATGTGTCAGCAGGTAAAGAAGCTTGCCATGCAAGTCTGACAACATGAGATTAACCCCCAGAACCCATGCAGAGGTGGAAAGACAGAACAGACTCCGAAAATTTGTCCTTTGACCTCTACATCATGGCACACCTTGCCCCATCACACACACACACACACACACACACACACACACACACACACACACGATGGCGTTTTGAATTACACACTTGTCAGTGTAAGTAAGGATTAGAAAAGCAGTTTCTTAGCTGAGCACATGTCTTTAATCCTGAAACTCAGGAGGCAGAGACAAGTGGCTCTCAGTGAGTGTGAGGTCAGCCTGGCCTCCACAATAAATTCTAGGCCAGCCAGGACTACATAGTAAGACCCTGCTTTTAAAAAGTAAAATCTTTTTTTTTTTTTTTTTTTTTTTTA